GAGACCTCCCTCCCATCACACCTCCTAGCTCCTCATGCCATGGAGGCCAAGTGAGGAATCCAGACCTCCCCCACAACCTGTCAGTAATAAGTTCATGACTAGCCCCTTCCCCTGCTGGAGCAGTGTCCAAGGAAGCCAAATAAAATGGAATACTTAAGATTTACAGGTTCATACTGTAATCCCCCAAATGTTCAAATTTTAATTTAAAAATTACTTATATTAAGAAGAGGGAAAACCACACCTAATATGAACCAAAAGGTAATCAATAGATGTCAACACTGAGATGACAGATGTTAGAATTATCTGACAAAAATTTGAAGGCAATCATACTTTAAAGAAAAAATATGAACATACTTGAAATACATTTAAAAAAAAAAAAACTCAGTGAAGATGTAAAGAATATAAAGAAGAACCAAATGGAAAATTTTGATAACTGAAAGAAACAACTCAAATTTTAAAACTCATTGAAAAGACTTGACAGTAGAAGGGAGAGGACAGAAGAAATAATTAGTGAGCTTGCAGAACAATTGAAATTATCCACTCCGAACACCAGTGAGGAAATGAACAGCAAAACAAATGAAAGAGGCTCAGGGACCTGTGAGACCTGAAAATTTCTAACATTTATTTTATCAGAATTGTAGAAACAGAGGAGCAAGAGAGTGGGACCGGAAGGAAAAATTCAAAGAAATAATGTCTAAAAACTTCCCAAGTTAGAATTCTGTAAACTTTTTTCTCTTATATGACAAATAACCTATTTGACTAGATTAATTAAATTTTATTTATTTCTACTGGAGTCGATTTTAACTCGCTCAGCCAGAATATTTTTATGATTTTACTCATGCCTAACAGTAATTCAAGGTGAGCTGTGCTTATGAATAAGTGAAGGTAAGAAAACATAAGTGTATTAGGTATCAATCATGTTTTACTGAGACAGAGTCAAACTCTGTCAACCAAGCTGAAGTGCAGTGGTGAAATTTCAGCTCACTACAACCTCCACCTTCCAGGCTCAAGTGATTTGCATGCCTCAGCCTCCCAAGTAGCTGGGATTACAGATGTGCATCACCATATCTGGCTATTTTTATTTATTTATTTATTTTTAATAGAGATGGGGTTTCACCATGTTGGCCAGGCTGGTCTTGAACGTGTGACCTCAAGTAATCTACCCCCCCCTTCACCCTCCCAGGGTGCTAGGATTACAGGTGTGAGCCACCATGCCCAGCATCAATAATGTATTAATAGAAGTTAATTGATTTGAAGGCACAAGAAAAAAATTAAATGTAATATAAAAAGACAGAGGGATGACCTATAAATACTATAACTTGATACATATCTAAGAAAAACAAGTTGAAAATTTAAAATTGTTAGAGGCTCTACACATATAAAGGAAAAACCAGTAACAGCCACTCCAAAAACATGCCAAATGGTAAAGAGAATCAACACAATGAAGAATCTGCATCAACTAATGGGCAAAACAGCCAGCTAGCACCAAAATGGCAGTATCAAATTCACACATAACAATATTAACCCTAAATGTAAATGGACTAAATGCCCCAATTAAAAGATACAGACTGAGGTCTCGGAGGCAACACAACCTTTCTACAACCATCTGATCTTTGACAAACCAAACAAAAACAAGCAATGGGGAAAGGATTCCCTGTTCAATAAATGGTGTTGGGAAAGCTGGCTAGCCATGTGCAGAAAGCAGAAACTGGACCCCTTCCTGACACCTTACACTAAAATTAACTCCAGATGGATTAAAGACTTAAACATAAGACCTAACACCATAAAAACCCTAGAAGAAAATCTAGGCAAAACCATTCAGGACGTAGGTGTAGGCAAGGACTTCATGACCAAAACGCCAAACGCATTGACAACAAAAGCCAAAATAGACAAATGGGACCTAATCAAACTCCACAGCTTCTGCACAGCAAAAGAAACAATCATTAGAGTGAATCGGCAACCAACAGATTGGGAAAAAATTTTTGCAGTTTACCCATCTGACAAAGGGCTGATATCCAAAATTTACAAAGAACTAAAGCAGATTTACAAGAAAAAAACTAACAAGCCCATTCAAAAGTGGGCAAAGGATATGAACAGACACTTCTCAAAAGAAGACATACGTGAGGCCAACAAACATATGAAAAAATGCTCATCATCACTGGTCATCAGAGAAATGCAAATCAAAACTACATTGAGATACCATCTCACGCCGGTTAGAATGGCGATCATTAAAAAATCTGGAGACAACAGATGCTGGAGAGGATGTAGAGAAATAGGAACACTTTTGCACTGTTGGTGGGAGTGTAAATTAGTTCAACCATTGTGGAAGACAGTGTGGCGATTCCTCAAGGACCTAGAAATAGAAATTCCATTTGACCCAGCAATCCCATTACTGGGTATATATCCAAAGGATTACAAATCGTTCTACTATAAGGACACGTGTACACGAATGTTCATTGCAGCACTGTTTACAATAGCAAAGACCTGGAACCAACCCAAATGCCCTTCGACGATAGACTAGATAGGGAAAATGTGGCACATATACACCATGGAATATTATGCAGCCATCAAAAACGATGAGTTTGGGTCCTTTGTAGGGACATGGATGAACCTGGAAACCATCATTCTCAGCAAACTGACAGAAGAGCAGAAGATCAAACACCGCATGTTCTCACTCATAGGCGGGTGTTGAACAATGAGAACACATGGACACAGGGAGGGGAGCACTACACACTGGGGTCAGTTGGGGGGAAATAGGGGAGGGATGGTGGGGGGTGGGAAGCTGGGGAGAGATAGCAAGGGGAGAAATGCCAGATGTAGGTGATGGGGAGGAAGACAGCGAATCACACTGCCACGTGTGTTCCTATGCAACAATTTTGCATGTTCTTCACATGTACCCCAAAACCTAAAATGCAATAAAATAAATAAAGGGGAAAAAATAAAAAAATAAAAAAAATAAAAATAAAATAAATAAATAAATAAATAAATAAATAAAAAAGATACAGACTGGCAAATTGGATAAAAAGCCAAAACCCATTGGTGTGCTGTATCCAGGAAACCCATCTCACATACAAGGATACACAAAGGCTCAAAATAAAGGGATGGAGGAAGATTTACCAAGCAAATGAAGAGCAAAAAAAAAAAAAAGCAGGAGTTGCAATTCTCATCTCTGATAAATTAGACTTTAAAGCAACAAAGATCAAAAGCGACAAAGAAGGACATTACATAATGGTAAAAGGATCAATGCAACAAGAAGAGCTAACCATCCTAAATATATACGCACCCAATACAGGAGCACCCAGATACATAAGGCAAGTTCTTAATGACTTACAAAGAGACTTAGACTCTCACACAATTATAGTGGGAGGCTTTAACATCCCATTGTCAACATTAGACAGATCAACCAGACAGAAAATTAACAAGGATATCCAGGACTTAAACTCAGACCTGGACCAAGCAAACCTAATAGACATTTACAGAACTCTCCACCCCAAATCCACAGAATATACATTCTTCTCAGCACCACATCACACCTACTCTAAAATTGACCACATAATTGGGAGTAAATCACTCCTCAGCAAATGCAAAAGGACGGAAATCGTAACAAACAGTCTCTCAGACCACAGTGCAATCAAGTTAGAACTCAGAATTCAAAAACTAACCCAGAACCGCACAGTTTCATGGAAACTGAACAACTTGCTCTTGAATGTTGACTGGATAAACAATGAAATGAAGGCAGAAATAAAGATGTTCTTCGAAACCAACGAGAATGAAGACACAACATACCAGAATCTCTGGGACACATTTAAAGCAGTCTCTAGAGGAAAATATATAGCAATAAGTGCCCACATGAGAAGCAAGGAGAGATCAAAAATTGACACCTTATCGTCAAAATTGAAAGAGTTAGAAGAGCAAGATCAAAAAAACTCAAAGTCTAGCAGAAGACAAGAAATAGCTAAGATCAGAGCAGAACTGAAGGAGATAGAGACACAAAAAACCCTTCAAAAAATCAACAAATTTAGGAGCTGGTTTTTTGAAAAGATCAACAAAATAGGCAGACCACTAGCCAGATTAATAAACAAGAAAAGAGAGAATAACCAAATTGATGCAATAAAAAACGATAAAGGGGATATCACCACAGATTCCACAGAATTGGTGATTCTGATTTGAATTGGATGATTCAAATCATCATCAGAGATTATTACAAACAACTCTATGCACATAAAATAGTAATCCTGGAATAAATGGATAAATTCCTGGACACTTGCCTCCTCCCAAGCCTAAACCAGGAAGAAGCCAAAACCCTGAACAGACCTATAACAAGGTCTGAAGTTGAGGCAGCAATTAAGAGCTTACCACTCAAAAAAGGCCCAGATCCAGATGGGTTCACAGCCGAATTCTACCAGACATACAAAGAGAAGCTGGTACCATTCCTTCTGAAACTATTCCAAACAATACAAAAAGAGGGAATTCTTCTCAAATCATTTTATGAGACCAACATCATCCTGATTCCAAAACCTGGCAGAGACTCAACAAGAAAAGAAAACTTCAGGCCAATATCCATGATGAACATAGATGCAAAAATCTTCAATAAAATACTGGCAAGGGGAGGCTGAATTCAGTTTTATAACAAGCCCATTCTTGCTCTAACAATCTCCTGCAACAATGACATTAATCCATGCACCAGGGCAGATCCCTCATTACCTAATTAATTCTTTAAATTCTTTTAAAATTCTCACCTCTTAACATTAGCATTGGAGATAAAGTTTCCAAAACATAAACTTTGGGAGATACATTCAAACCATAGCAAATAGTGAATACTATGTATAAAATAAAATAAAATAAAATAAAAATTCACTACTAAAGTCACACAAAAAGAATTTTTAAAAATATATTAGTTTAAATAAAAATATTAAGTTAGCATGTGTTTATAACCACTTAATTGAGAAATACATTAGCAGAACTGATAACCCAGAAATATCACCTATGAAATTATAAAGCATCAAGGAGGTAAATAAAGGTTTTCTCATTTTTCCCTTAGAACCTCACTTATGAGTGTTGATACATTACTATCCATCACTTCAGGCCAAATGACCCAGTAATGCAGATTATTGCAAAGAGAGTAATGCTAAATGCAGCAGTTCCCAGAATAACTGACGAGGGAAGTTTATGAGGAGCTATTTTTATAAAAAGCATTATTAATAATTATAGGATTCATCTTACATGACATTTGCATCATTCTGTTACATGAAGAAAGTACTGCATGTGGAGTAGACGGCTACCTATAATTTATTATGCTAAAGGTACCCTTGACACATTATGACAGAATAACAATTTTTAAGACAACTGTCTTTTCCAACCTCAGGAGAGTTCAGAACTTTTGTATGTTGATAATACTCCATGTAAAATTTTTCCCTTGTAGTTCACATTAAAATTTGTATGACTAACAGAAATTCAGTGTGTTACTTCTCTCACATATATCTTTCCTTTACTAGGAAAAAAAAATCATCAAAATGACTTTGACGCCAAGATGAATTTTAAGACATCAACCAGTAAGTAACATAAGAATTGGAAATTATCCCCAGGAGCTCTCAAATCTCAATGTCAAAGAGTTCTTGATTTTCTGGGTACAGCTGATATTATGTGTACCAGAAACACTGAGCTAGAGGAATATTTTCCAAGAGTGGTAAGGCAAAAATAAGGATAAACGTTCAGAAAAAAAAGGACTCTAAAAAAAATACCAAATTATAAGAGAAGATACTGAATAATTTTTTGTCCCATGTCATGATTAGGTTATTGACATTTCTTGTGATTGCACAGATCATTGTTTTCTCCATGCACAATCTGAAAAATAAAATAATGATGGTAATGTCCACTTATCACCAGTAAACAATCAGGGCAAGTCATCTGTTTGTTTCACAAAAATTTATCGAGTGCTTTTCTATGTGCTAAGCAGTTCACGGCCAGAAGAATAAAGACAAGTGATTTTTCAAAAAGAAAAAAAAAAAAAAAAAAAAAACCACTTTTATTAAAGAGAATCTCTGTGCAGAAAAATATAGGGCCAGCCACAGTGGCTCACACTTGTAATCCGAACACTTTGGGAGACCGAGGCAGGCAGATCACTTGAGCTCAGGAGGTTGAGACCAGCCTGGGTAACATGGTGAAACCACATCTCTACAAAAAAATTTAAAAAGCAGCTGGGCATGGTGACTTGCACCTATAGTCCTGGCTACTCAGAAGGCTGGGGTAAAAGGATGGCTTGAACCAGGAAGGATGAGGTTGCTGTGAGCCATGATCATGCCACTGCATTCCAGCCTGAGTGACACAGCCAGACCCTGTCACAATGTCACAAAAAAGAGTGTGTGTGTGTATGTGTGTGTGTGTGTGTATGTGTGTACAAGCACCATGGGAATACAAATAAAAGAGTAACACATCCTGCTGAGTTGAAAATTCAGAGAAAATTATAATGTAATTACATTTGCTATGTGTCTTATGGAAGTCTGCTAATTATACAAATTATGGAGGGGAAGAGTTTTTCTGACAAATCATATAACACAAAGAAGGGCATACAGGTGTTCACATCCTTGCAGTATTTTTAGAATCACAAATGATAATCCAGTTATCAAAGGAACATCAAAGTTAGAGGAAAAGGTCAGCAGTAAGAATAGCAATATAGGTTGCAGGCAATTATGCAATGAAACGGCCAGTATACTCTGTTGAGCATTTAAACTTGACTCTTTCTGCAGCTGTTGGAAGTGTCACTTATGATAGTATAAAGCAAGAGACTTAAAACTAGAGCTTATGGGTCAAACCTGGGCCACCGCCTGCTCTTCTACAACCTGTGAGTTAAGAATGATTCATATACTTTTTAAAGGCGCTTAAAAATGAAAACTAAATAGTTCATGTCACATGAAACACACAAAATTCAAATTTCAATGTCCATAATTAAAGTTTTACTGAAGCACAAGCATATCCATTTGTTTATATATTGTATATGCTGCTTAAGAGTTACAATGGCAAATGTTAGTTGTAACAGAGACTGTATTGCCACAGAGCCTAAGTTATTTGCCATCTGTCCCTTTATAAAAGATGCTTTGAGTCAGAGAAGATACTGAAACCATGGAGATCTACTTAATAAAACTATTGCAATGGTTCAGGTTGTTAGCATTATTCCAGAACAAGTGGCATGGTGGAAACACATGAAATGCATATTTAAGAGACTTCTAAGTAGCACAATCATCAAAACTTAAATGAATCAATGGGAGGAAGCAATTTATTTCCTGTAATTTCTAAGAGTGTGATTTCTAAGAAAAGCCAATTTCTTATTTGTTTTCAAGGGATTGCTCTTGAGTATTTTCAGTGATGCAGCTGTTAGTCACATTTTTTATGCAGTCTTGATGCAGTCTTAAACACTGGCAAAATTATCCAAAGCTTCAAACAGGCTAATTATTCTGGATACTGTTTTTCTTCCTGGTGTAAATTGGTGGGGATAGAAACGACAACAAGTTTCTGAGAGAGATGTCAACTGATTTTTTTTCTTGTTTATTTGTTTCACTAATGAGCAAGAAGAAGGAAGAAGGGGTACTAGGACTTGGGCTTTGAGAACCCAGGGCACTCCCATAGGGCAAAGAGGAGTGGGCCTTGGAGACACAAAGGCCATGAATGGTGGACATGCAGAGATTGTGGTGGTCACCATGTCTGGCACGGCTGACGGCCTCTAGAAGCATATGATCTACAGACAATTTTCAATATTCTTCCTTCACAAAGTGTTAGATCACCAAGATCTGTTAATTCTCCACAGCCTCTTCTTTGGTACCTGTGTCCCTGCTCTGTTGTTTAGGTAAAACCTACAGAGGAACGTGGAGTAGCAGAGCAGAGGAGGAAAAGCAACAGCGGAGGCCAAGACCCTCCCCTAGGACTCTCAGCAGTCACAGGGAAGAGGATGGGCTTCCTCGGTCCTGTGGGCTGAGGCTTTTGCTACTACATTTGTAAATTAAAGGATGATCCAGGAGTGCTGAAAACTTGGGGATACTTCCGTTCTCACAAATAAATATGATGCATGGGACAGGCATGGAGGTTCATGCCTGTAATACCAGCACTTTGGGAGGCCTAGGTGAGAGGATCACTTGATCCCAGGAGTTCAAGACCAGCTGGGCAACATAGGAAGACCTTGTCTCTACAAAAAAATAAAATAAAAAGTAAGTGTGATATAATTTCTGCTCTGAAAGGACTGAAAGTTTGGGACCTCGATGAACAGGTAGGATTCAAACTTGCTCTAGGCAGGTGAGAAAGTTTGAGCAAAGGGAAGAAAGTGGAAAATCCCAGAGCCAGTAGGGGTTTGTTGTTTTTTCTTCCTCTTTTAACTGGGAGAAGAAAAGGGCTCTCTCTGTTCCAAAAAACTTACTTAAAATGCACTTTTGGAACGCAATCCATTTATTTATAAGCTAGTGCCTTCCTGCATAGATTAGAAAAACAAAATGTACTTAGTCTTCACAGATGCATGGCCAGAAAGAGATATTTCCAGTTGAAAAATGAAAACACGAACAATTATTTTCAATCCTTCATTTGCAGCCAGTAATGAGGTGGCATTTTAATTCCATAAAGTTATTATAACTACATAAAAATCCATCATCACGTACCATTTAGAGTCTTAATCTATCAATGTGTTTTTAAATGTTTAAACACAAAGATCATGTTTAATTGAGTTACATGATTGCAGTAAATCTTTCCCATTTCTCGGCAGATTTTCAAAGACTTCTAATATTTACGTAAAGGTAATATAAACACAGTAACTATATAATAACTTATCTTGCATGTGCACCAGCATCACTTTTACCAACTTTTAAAATATTTGCATAGATACTGCTCTTATAACATTCAACGATCTTTCCCACTATACTGTCTCCAAATGCTCATAAGAAAAGTTGAGGAGGAAATACCTACAATTTTTTTAAAGAGGAAACTAGCTGCAGAAAAGAGATTGACCCCCAAACCACAAAACCACTTCCTGGTTTTATCTCCCAACTCCTAATCTACAGCTCTTGCCAATGACACCTCCCTTGAGGCCATAGGGATCCCCAGGTATACAGGATCTCAAAATAAAAGGATCAGCCCTAAAAATAAATCAGATAACTTGGATTATGAATTTGAATGGAATTAACTGCACATTTTAGGAAATTAAAACCATCTTTGATAGTGTTCATCTGTTAATTCCAGCAGTACAATAATGCAGAGACTGGGGGACAGACACATTCATAGTTGGAGTAATCTGTTGATATCTAGCAAATATTTATTTGTATTTCAAACTGTATAAAGTGTTTGAGTTACACATAGAATAAACCATACATTTGAAAGCACTGCAGTTAGCCAAAGCAATTTTCAGTTCTATTGTATCAAAGGTAAAATCACTATTATCTGAGGCTGACTATACAGAAAGAAAAAAAATACAGATTTGAATTGATTTAACAAAGAAAATGAATTATGATGGTCTGATAAAGCAAAAATTAGGGAAAAACTTATGAGATAAATTTTCTCATCAGCATGTCTGTCTCATGCTCTAAGCAACATGACCTACACTAATTGGGGCCGTTGTTCCACAGAAAGGAAGTAGGGCCACTTTTTTTTTCCGTCTGTTTTTCCTTGAGGAAATAATGTTAATCATATGGAGCAAGTGAATATAAAAGATAAAAAAATGTTTTCAGATGCCACATGTAACAACGCAGAAGATGGAGCAAATTTAGTCATTTTTTAATTGAGAACACTCTCTACTAGTGAGTGATACTCTTGAGAAACAGAATTAACTTAAACTTTTCCTAAATGTAAGAGTCTGCTGAACAGGCGTACATGACACAAGTCTCCAACACAGAAGATGAGACACAAAGTGCAACACAGTAGACTTCCCTATGCCGAGACTGCTCACCTCTCACAGGCAAGAACCACGTCTGTCCACCTCGTGCTGCTACTGCCTGACTTAAGATATTAGCATTTAGTAGGCACGCAGTCAGTATGTTTGAATGCATGAATAAAGTGCCATGGCAAACTGGATTTCCTGACTCGCTAAGACTTAAAAATGAGCCCTAGATTGCCAAACTTCAAGGAATTCATGTACTTGAAACTGCATTTAGCCCCCAAGCATTTCTGGTAAGTTTCTCTGGTCACTTAAAATATTCCTTCAGAACTTCAGAGGCACTTGGTGCCTCAGGGCGGCTTTTTTTTTTTTTTTTTTGTATTTTATTTTAAATTCCAAGATACACGTGCAGGATGTGCAGATTTGTTACAAAGATATGTGTGCCACTGTTGTTTGCTGCACCTATCAATTCACCATCTAGTTATTAAGCCCAGAATGCATTAGCTATTTATCCTGATGCTATCCCTCCTGCAAGCCCCAAAACAGGCCCCAGTGTATGTTATTCCCCGCCTTGTGTCCACGTGTTCTCACTGTTCAGCTCCCACTAATAAGTGAGAACATGGAGTGTTTCGTTTTCTGCTCCTGTGTTAGTCTGCAGAGGATAATGGCTTCCAGCTCCATCCAGGTCCCTGCAAAGGACATAATCTCATTCCTTTTTACAGGTGCATAGTATTCCATGGTGTGTATGTACCACGTCTTCTTTACCCAGTCTATTGAAGATGGGCATTTGGGTTGATTCCATGGCTTTGCTATTGTGAACAGTGCTGCAATGAACATATGCATGCATGTATCTTTATAACAGAATGATTTATATTCCTTTGGGTATATACCCAGTAATGGGATTGCTGAGTCAAATGGTACTTCTGGTTCTAGATCCTTCAGGAATCACCATACTGTCTTCCACAATGGTTGAACTAATTTATATTCCCACCAGCAGTGTAAAAGCATTCCTGTTTCTCCACAGCCTCGCCAGCATCTGTTGGTTCTTGACTTTTTAATAATCATCATTCTCACTGGTGTCAGATGGTATCTCATTGTGGTTTTGATTTGCATTTCTCTAATGATGGTGAGGTTGAGCTTTTTTTCATATGTTTCTTGGCCACTCAAATGTCTTTTGAGGAGTGTTCATGTCCTTTCAGAGCTGTTATTAAGGACAGTATTATACAGTGTAGGGGAAAAATGATACTTAGGCTATTTACAAATAAATTATTAGACTATGTTATCTACAAGTTATAGGTTAACTGTAAGTCAACTTATACTTAAATAAATTGAATAGAGCATCATTCCTTAAAACAGTGTGATTTAGATTTAATATCTAAGTTTACTCTCTTTTCAGTAACTTGACTGTCTTCATTTTCTTAAAAACACACCCACATGGTTTATTCACCTGTTATATTTTTATGAGCACATTTTATGTACTGGAAGTACAGTGGCAAAGAAAACAGACAAACCCCTGCCTTCACTGAGTTCATATTCCACTTTAGAAAGAAGACAAACAATTAAATACATAAATAATCAAAATATATACTTTGCCAGAGATTGAGATAAGCTATGAAGAAAAAAGGTGAGGTAGGGATGTAGGGTATATACAAGGAAACGGAATGCAATTCTAATGAAGGCAGACAAGTAAGTTTTTGCTGATCTGCTATCTCAGCACAGACCCCAAGGAGGTGAGGCAGATGACCGTGCAACTATCTGGGGGGAAAATGCTTCAGGAATATGGATCAGAGAGTGCAGACACCTGACGTATGTTTTGTTTGTTTGTTTAAAAAAAAAAAAAAAAAAAAAAAAAACAAGGAGATATTAAGGCCAGAGTGAGTGAGGAGAGTGATCTTGGGAACAGGCCTAGAAATTGAAACCACAGAGGTAATGGTTGCATCATCTGTGAAGTCTGATACACCATTGTATAAACATTAGATTTTTACCCAGGTATATAGCCAATGGAGAGCATAGAAGACGAAAGCAACTTGACCCAAGCTGTATTAAAATAAATGCTCATGCTACTGTGTTAAGAACAGAGGCTGGGGGCCAGACGAGAAGCAGGGAGAAGAGTTAGGGGCACTTCAATAATCCAGGCAATAGAGAATTGACCAATTATCAGACTGAGGAGTCAGAGATTTCAAAATAGCAATGTGACTGTTAAAAACCCAGTTGGAGACAGAGAGAACAACAGTGAGTTTCCTGTTCTGAATAATAAGATGGCTGTTATTATTTTGAAGTATGTTCCTTCCATGCCCAGTTTGTTGAGAGTTCTTAACATGAAGCGATGTTGACTTTTACTGAAAGCCTTTTCTACATCTATTGAGATAATAATTGGGGGTGTTTTTTTAGTTCTTTTTATGTGATGAATCACATTTATTGATCTGCGTATATTGAATCAACAACCTCCATCCCAGGGATAAAACCTACTTGATATTTAACTATCCACAGGTCTAAGCTAAGCTTGCAGCATAGGCAGGAGCAGCCCAAAACACATGCTGTCATCCAGCAAACAGTAAAGAGAAGGCAGAAAAGGTCTCAACCAGATTCCTTATCTCAATTGTATAATTTTCTCCTTTCCCTCTGGAGAAGAGCAAGTGAAGGGTAGAGAAAACCTGCAAAGGCACAGTAAAAGGGACCCTCCCAGTTGGAATCAGAGAAGAGAGGAATATCTCTCTCCCGACCCCATCTTGCTTTTCGTTCACTTAATGTACAAGGTTTAACTGTTAAGCTCATGATAAAGCAAGAATATTAGACATTACATGGGACAAAGTCAGCAGACTATCAGGAAAGTCTTGTCCCCACCTTTATGAGGTTACTCTCCTAATACTAACTCCTGCTCCACTGTGGATCCACCTCAGACTACTGGTGATCAGGATGGATTTCACCCCCACAATGCTCTGACGTGTGTATTAATAAAATCAGGATGACCTTTTTCAAGTCTGGACAATCCATCTCTGTTCTATTTCTTATCACAACTTATTTCCAGCCACATTGGCCAATACTCATGAGAATTTCTGCAATGAGATTAAATAATATCAAGATACCTCATATAGTAAAAATACAATAAACTAAAGATACCCAAATTTGGCTATGAATGCTATCCTATCAAATTCACAAAAAAATAATAAAATCTGAAGATTAGTTCAAATAAAGATAAAACCCAAAAATTTATAAATCCAAGAGATGCAAAGTATGAAGGAAAATTATCTTACTTTTCTACCAACCAGAAAAAGTCCAGGAACAGATGGCTTTACAGACAAACTTTACCAGATGAGTTGATATTACCAAGAGTTGATACCATTCCTACTAAAGCTATTCCAAAAAAAAAAATGGAGGAGGAAGGACTCTTCTCTGACTCATTCTATGAAGCCAGTATCATTGATACTAAACCTTGACAGAGACACAAGAAAAATAGAAAACTTCAGCCAATATCTTTGATGAACATCAAAAAGGTAATTCATCACAATCAAGTAGGCTTTATCTCTGGGATGCAAGTTTGGTTCAACATACACAATTCAATAAATGTGAATCACCACATTAAAAAAAAAAAAAAGAAAAAAGAACACATGATTATCTCAATACATGCAGAGGTTTTGATAAAATTCAACATCCGGTCATGTTAAAAACCTTCAACAAACTAGATATTAAAGGAACATACTTCAAAATAATAAGAGCCACCTATGACAAACCTATAGCTAACATCACACTTAAAAGGCAAAAGCTGGAGCCATTCTCCTTGAAAACTAGCACAAGACAATGATGCCCTCTGACCATTCCTATTCAACATAGTCCAGGCCAGGGCAATCAGGCAAGAAAAAGAAATAAAAGCCATCCAAATAGGAAGAAAGGAAGGCAAACTATCCCTGTTTGTAGATAATATAATTCTATACCTAGAAAACTCCCACAAGTCTCTGCCCAAAAGCTCCTAGATAATGATGAACAACTTCAGCAAAGTTTCAGAAGACAAAAATCAGTGTACAAAAATCAACAGCATTCCTATACATCAACAACGTCTAAGCTGAGAGCAAAATCAAGAATGCAATCTAATTAATCATAACCTCGAAAAGAATAAAATACCTAGGAATATAGTTAAACCATAGAAGTTAAAAAGAAAAAAATATCTGTATAACAAGAATTATAAAACACTGCTCAAAGAAATTATACAAGACACAAACAAATGGAAAAACTTTCCATGCACATAAGAAGGATCAATATCATTAAAATGGCCATATTTTCCAAAGCAATTTACAGATTCAATGCTATTCCTATCAAACTACCAATGGCATTCATCACAGAATTAGAAATAGCTACTTTAACAGTCATATGGAACTTAAAGAGACCAAAAAGAAAAGGCAACCCTAAGCAAAAAGAGCAAAGCTGGAGGCATCACATTACCTGGATTCAAACTCTACTACAAGACTACAGTAATCACAACAGGATGATACTGATACAAAATCAGACATGTAGATCAATGGAACAGCACTGAGGGCCCAGAAATGATACAATACAACTACAGCCATCTGATCTACATCAAAATCAACAAAAACAAACAATGAGGGAAGGGCTCCCTGTCCAATAAGCGGGTAAGTGGCTAGCCATATGCAGAAGATTGAAACTAGACTCCTTTCTTATACTGTAAACAAAAATAAACTCAAGATGGATTAAAGGTTAAAAGTACAAACCTAAAATCGTATAAAAATCCTGGAAGATAACCTAGGAAATACCATTCCGGATGTAGGACCTGGCAAAGATTTTGTATTAAGACACCAAATCAATTGCAACAAAAACAAAATTGACAAATGGGACCTAATTAAACTAAAGAGCTTTCGTGTAGTAAAAGAAATTATCAACAGAGTAAACAGACGACCTACAGAATAGAAAATATTTGCAAATTCTGCATTTGACATAGACCTAATACCCAGAATCTATAGGGAACTTAAATAAATGTACCAGTGAAAGACAACCCCAGTAAAACATTGGCAAAGGACATGAACAGACACTTTCCAAAAGAAGATGTACATGTGGCCAACAAGCATAAGAAAAAATGTTCAACGTCAATAATCATTAGAGAAGTGCAAGTGGAAACCATAATGAGAACCCTGTGAAAACCATTTCACCCCTGTCAAAACCATTTCACACCTGTCAGAATGGCTGTTTTTAAAACATTTTTTAAAATAACACATGCTGGTGAGGTTGTGGAGAAAAGATAACACTTATACACTGCTGGTGGGAATGTAAATTAATTTAGCCATAGTAGAAAGCAATTTGGCAATTTCTCAAAGAACTCAAAGCAGAATTACCATCTGACCCAGAAATCCCATTACCGGTTTCTACCCAAAGGAATTTAAATTGTTCTACCATAAAACACATACACATGTATGTTCATTGTAACACTATTCATAATAGCAAAGACATGAAATCAACCTAAATGCCCATCAATGGTAGAGTAGATAAAGAAAATGTAGTACATATACACCATGGAATACTATGTAGCCTTAAAAAAGGAATGAGATCATGTCCTTTGCAGCAACATGGATGGAGTTGGAGGCCACTATCCTAAGTGAACTAACACAGGAGCAGAAAACCAAATACCTCATGTTCTCACTTACAAGCAGGAGCTAAACAATGAGTACATACGAACACAAAGAAGGAACAACAGACACTAGAGTCCACCTGATGGCAGAGGGTGGGAGAAGGGTGAGGATCAAAAAACTACCTATCAGATATTATGCTTATTATCTGGGCAGTGAAATAATCTGTAAGCCAAACCCCCATGAAATACAATTTAACTATGTAACAAACCTGTACATGTACCGCTGAACTTGAAATGAAAGTTAAAAAAAAAAAAAAAAAAAAAAAGTGTATCTTGCTGTTTTGAGTTAGAAGTCCAAAAATGAACATCCTCCTCAATTTCTTATCTTGCAATCTCAACAGAAGGGGCTTTCACAGCTTATGCATACTGGGTGTTCTCTGAGCAGCTATGGCCTGAACTGTCTCTCAATGAAATGTGTTTCTTCACGTCTCAGTGATATCAGTTCAGTATTAAGTTTGTCTTACAAACTTCACTTTTAAGAAGTTCAGAGTGTCAATAGTCTACTTATAAATATCCCACCTTGGCACTACGCCGCCCCCTTAAAATCCCAGGCAAATCTATGTTCCCTGACTCTGTACTTAATGTTTCCAAAAGCCACAGCAAACATTCAGTAGTGCCAGAAGAAAGGGAAAGGCATGGAGAAAGCCTTTCTGGTTTTCTTCTTTCTGCGCTGTCATTTACTTTATGTTGTTAAGGGGTCACAACAAAAGCAAAAATAGACAAATGTGACTATATCAAACTAAAAAGCTCTGTACAATAAAGGAAACCATCAACAGAATGAACAGGCAACCTAAAGGATAAAAGGGAATATTTTCCAACCATTTATCTAATGAGAGATTAGTATCAAAGATATATAAGGAACTTCTACAATCCAATACCAAAAATCGAATAATCTGATTTTAAAATGGGCAAAAGACTGGCACCAACATTTCTCCAAAGAAGACATACAATGGTCAACAGATATGTTGAAAGCTCAACGTAATTATTAGGGAAATACAAATCTAAACCACAACAATGTATTTCACAATAAAACATCACCTGTCAGCATGACTATTTTCAACAACTAAAGAGAAAAGCAGTGCTGGTGAAGATGTAGACAAATTTGCACACTGTTGGTGAGAACATAAAATGGTGTAACCACTGTTGAGAACAGCATGGAGTTTCCTTTAAAATTTGAAAAATAGGACTACCACCAATTCCACTTTTAGGTACATATTTGAAACAGTTGAAATAAAAGTCTCAAAGACAAATCAGCATTCCCATGTTCACTGCAGCATTAATCACAATAACCAAGATGTGGCAACAACCTAAAGTTCATTGCAGATACATAAAGAAAATTGAGCACGTAAATATAATGGACTATTATTCAGCCTTCAAAAGAAGAGAATTCTGAATATGATATAAATAAAGAGTGGAGGACATCATGCTAAGTGAAATAAGCCAATCACAGAAGGACAAATATTACATGATTGCACTTATATAAAGTATCTGAAATACTCAAACTCATAGAAGCAGAGAGTGGAATGATGGCTGCCAGGGACTGGCAGGAGGGGGAAATGAGGAGCTGTAATTCGATGGAGTGAAGTTTCAGTTATGCAAGATAAATATAAGATCTACTGTGCAGTACAGTATCTACAGTTAACAATACTGTATTGTGCGCTTTAAAATTTTGTTAAGAGGGTAGATCTCATGTTAAGAGTTCTTACCACACACACACCCACCCACCCACCCACCCACACACACACACACACACACACACACAATCATGCAACAAACAAAACATAGAGCAAGGGTAAGATAATTTTATAGGTAATGGATGCTTTTTACCTTGATTGTGATGGTTTCACAGGGGTACAACTCTGTCCAAATTCATTAAATTGTATACATTAAATATGTGGAATTTTTATGTATCCATTATATCTCAACAAATATGTTTTCAAAAATTCTCAAGGATCCATGACCTGCATACCTAAACTCTTATGAAGTAGAGGGAATGAGACAGGGAATTCAGGGGTAGGGAGGTATGTTTATTTGATATAGAGAATAAAAGAATTTGAGGCCTTCTGTCTTCTCTGAAAAGTAGACAGGAAGACAAAACTGCTAAGAATAAAAAGTAGGATGGAGAACAGGATTTGTAATGTTCAAGAGAGTAAAGAAAATTTGAAATAGCCATTTCGGAAAGTGGAGGATACATTGCACAGCAATTTAACTGGACTGTCAATCAGTATGAAAAGACCATTGGAAGTCAACAAAATCTGAATATAGATAGAAACTAATGGTCTCTTTTATGTGAATTTCTCCGCAAGCGCTCAGAAAATGACAACTAAGTTCAGTCACACACACAAAAAAATGAAGAGTTAAATTCATCCAAATTCCAGTTGTTCTAGTAAGCTGAGGAGAAAACAGGACTAGGCATTTTTAGGATATTGTCAGGAGTAATGTTGCAACTGTAGGTTATGTTTTCTAATTTAGGTTAGGAGAGAAATGAAGAAAGCAGGTAGCAGCAGAATTGGGAGAAATTAGGCAGATCAATGGTTTGATGGGTTAAAGAGGCTGGAGGATGAGTATAGTGGGGTTATTCCAGCAAGTTGGAGGGAGGGAGGCTATGGTCACATTTAGATTACTGAATAAGTGATTTTAGAAATGGAGCAGTTATTGATGATGGCAACATCCAAAGGTGTGAATATGGGAATGGATGGTCGAAGTAAAGGATAAAGGGATTAGGGCAGGAGCAAGAGATCCAAGAAAAAATGGGGTTGGCTGGATGGCCATGTGACTGCTAACCATCACAGCTACCCAGGATGACAGAGTACTGGGTGGAGAGCAAGGTAGTAATGTCACAGCTACCCACGAGGACACAGCACTGGGCAGAGAGGAAGGTAGTAACATCACAGGGTAGCAATAGTGAGGATGAGAAAACGTGGTAAGGCAAATGTCAAGAATCTCAACAACAAAACAAAAAGCAAAACCATTACTCGTCTTAAGCGAGTAAATATCTAGAATTGCATTGAAAAGAAACAAAGATACTCTTCTACCTCCTGGTCTCAGTGAATATGGAACATCAACAAACAACAGCTGCCACTTCAGATTCAGGGGAACCTGTGTCGTTACAGTAAAGCAAAGTTTTACTTATGGTAAAGACATAGAGGAAATTTATCTTTCCTTTTTTTTCTTTTCATTTCTTTTACAAATATATTAGTATCTGTTTTGTGCCAAAAATTGTTTTAAGTTTGAGAAATACGGTAGGAGAAACAAGGTTCTCACATTTAAGAAGTTTACATTTCCACAGTGGGGGAAAGAAAATATTTTATAAGAATGCATATTGCATAATATAATCTTTATATTGGAGAGAGACTGGGGAGAGGGAGGGGGAGCTCTGCTTCACAGTGTTTGCTAATTTCTATGCTGTAATGACTCCTGCCATGACTGATTCCAGGTACAGATGGCTAAACAACCAGACTGCAAAACTTCTGAAAATTTGGCAGTGAATTCTTATTAGCTGGATAAGCTGGCTCCAATTGGATAAGCTGGCTTTATGCTGGATAAGCTGACTTACCATTGGATGAAAGGTACAGA